TGTAGACTGCTGATAGCAACCAGCGGGGTCTCCAACGCCCTGATTGCAACCCCAGTTTTGATGCACTTCATAAATAGATGCCTGTATTCATAGCAACATTTCACATGATTCCGTGTCTGCGCTGGATTTGTACAGACGCATGACGTAGACATGACCTTGAGAGTCACGGCTGTGTCACATGGGAACCCCCTTGGTGTGGCGTTGATTGTGTTGAGGCTTGGGTCACTTGGTGGAGCGATGGATTCATTACTGGTGATCTGCTGCTCTTGAGGATGCATCGTGCCAACAGCTCCCCTGACCCACATCAGGGGAGCTGTGGTGGGTTCTGGTGGGGACCTCTTTACCCTCGATGGGTCATCTCACCAGACGGGTTGGTGTTATGGCCTCCCTCCCTTGGTGCTTCTAAGTTTCAGTCACTTTTAGTTGAGCTGATGGGCGGCCAGCAGTTTAAGTGGTCTTGGGGGGTGGGGGGTTCCCCAGAGAGGTTCCCAAGTCAAATTTTTTCCAAGTCCAAAGTCTTTTGGGGCAAAAGTGTGGCCGCGATGCTGGGTACGGAGATTCGGTTCCACGTCTCTTGACCGAAGCTACCTGGCCTTTTGGGTGCTGAGATTTGCGAGGTTTCTGTCCTTCTCACCATTTCAACCAGTAACATTTCACGTGTGTTTTTAGTTCCATTATCATTTAAATGGATCCGCCATTATTCTTTCTCCCACTATCCTCCACCTTGTGAGAATTATCTTTGTTTATTTCCCCGTCTTGTTTTTAAAATCACCTCAACTCTTGAGTGCCTGCAAGCCAGGAAGTCAAGCTAAAATGGCTGTTTCTCTTCCCTCCCTATAATTTTAGATAATCATTGTTATGCCCTAACTCCTTTATTTTAGCTCTAGTAATTAATGCTTTGTTTGTGCTGACAGTTTGGGTTAGTTTTAACAGCTACCACCAAGGCCTTCTCTAACGCTCTCCAGGCAGTGTGAAATATGCGATTTTATCAGATTTTTTTTTTTTTGTTTGTTTCCTCTACTGACCCAACAAAAACACAAACTTCTTACCCTTTGTTATGATCAAGCACAGACCGAGTATGAATAATAGGAAGTCATGCAAAGACAGTAGCACCATTGTTTTTGAGGAGGTGTGAAAGGTAGGTGGTTGACTTGATTTTGCTGCTAATTTTAAACCTGGTGTACAACAGAACTACGAAGGAAATATTATATCAGTGCATAAAAATACCACAAATATTCACAATTTACAATTATTACTAAACTCCAAAAAAAGGTTGGTCCTGTGAAAATGCACAGAATATTGTGAAACAAAATGA